TTCTCAAAATCACGTGTGTGTGTGTGTGTGTGTGTGTGTGTGTGTGTGTGTGTGTGTGTGTGTGTGTGTGTGTGTGTGTGTGTGTGTGTGTGTGTCTCCACTGACCACACAGGCCAAGGAGAGAATGAAATAAAACCATTGTCCATCCCTAGAAAATCGTGTTTCTGTAGTGTGTAGAGATGGCTATATAATTATACATTCGTACTTCCCATGAGTTATTGTAACAAAGTGAAGGTTGAGGGCTCGTGGCTCGTAAATATCAGGTGAAATTAGTACCCTGTACGCCGCTACCGGCGTGAGAAACGTAATTACAAACTGGACGCAAATGGTCAGAGCGACATCCTGTAGGACAGGGAACCTTAGAGTGGGGTGTATTTATAACACCTTGCTGCTCCAAAATCAGTTAAGTCCGTGATTGGTAAGATCATGAAGAACGATATTGAGAAGCGTCTCTTACGCGTTAATTGTAAACGCGTGAGAGTGCACAAAGATTTGGCGCGTTCAAAGCCCCCACGATCTTGGGAACTGGGGAAAGAAGATACAACCATCCAGAATGTACCTATTAAAGCATGAATGATCAAAGTGGAATCATTACGACGCTTGGGCCTTATACTGAGGGTCCAAAGGTAGAGGAGTAGATTAGACGAGACCAGACTAGAGTAGAGAGAGGACATAGAGATAGGAGCTAGGCAAGGCGAAGGGAGTGACAATATTCTCGTTGTCTGCTAGATAGTCGTCTGTTCGACAAATTTATAACCAGTGTTTCAGGAAATAGTAGTTATCCTTCTATAGATTATAGGTCCTCGAAGTTCGTAGCTTGTTTTGTAAACATCATACATTTAATTGTTGTTGATGATAAAATATTTCAAAAATATTACAGCGTGAAGTTTTCTTGTCATCTTTGACATAGCCTATACGATCACGTGTCAGAGTGCTGTAACCAGTACAACAACATTTTTAATACTGTTACATTATCCCGGATCCAAGAATGCCCTGTGTTTGCCTTCTCGTCTTTCTCACGTTGCAGAATCATTCTTCCGTGAAACTTAAAGGTTAATCCCGAGGTCCACAAGCTCACATTCCAGGGATTAGTTGTTTGTGTAGAGATATCCTGCCTCTCCCGGAATTATATAAGTAAGGTCAACAACGATAACGATAACGACGACGACGACGACGACGACGACGACGACGACTGGGGCAACGGTGACAACAACAGCAATAATCACCATCCCTCGACCAAATGCGACTACGCATAAATAATACATTTCAACCTTTGATCCAGACAGAAAAAATAATTGCGTTTGAAAAAAACTTGACCGGAAAACACGTAGAACATAACAATGAACTTAAAAGCGTCACGCAAACCCGAGGCAAAAATAAAACAAAACAATTATTCGGGAAAAAAGTAATTCCAGTGCTTTTGAGAAACCGTAGAAACAGATAGAAGTAGGCATCCTCCAAGACTACAAATCCAAAAAGATAGGCCAACACAAAAATTATGTCATCAGACAGGCCTGAAAATACCCCACACTCACGGTAAAATACATGTAGGCCTACTCGTAGTTTTAAGCAACATTTCACTTTTACAGACCAGTAAGTTCCACACAGTGCATAGGCATCCTAACTTGTGTACAGTCATTTGACCTGGTTACAGTCATTTTAACCTGTGAACAGTCATTTTAATTTTAACCAGTTTACGGTCATTTTAACCCGTGGAGTCTTTTTAACCAGTGTACAGTCATTTCAACCACAAACATTTTCACAAGGCAACATAATATGTATAATCTAATATGGCAGTCCGAGACCGTAAAAACGCAGATCGAAATAAAATAATGTAATGTCTGGAGTAATATTGAAAAAGTAAAATCAACTCGATGTTTTTTTCCTAAGTAGAATGAGGCAGCCATGAACAGCGTTGATTCTTACATTATGTCAAGATGGGCTCAGGTTACCCTTTGCGTGTCTTTAGAAATAAGAGGTCAGAAGCGCTGAACCGTAGCTTAGCCTTTGTAACAGTCAGGCCTGCTTTTGCTCTGCGTTATGCTAACTTCCGTGTTCGGGAAGCAGAGGCAGACATGCCTTGCCATTAATCGCCTGTTTAACTCATTCTGTGCAGTTTTTGATACTATTTTATAAAGCGCATATCCACACTCTACAGCATGCTCTATGGGCTTTACAACTAGATATTTTACCCCCATGACTCTGGAAGTACACTCAGAAACATTCTCGGTTTCTCGGGAAGCATAATGTTGCGTAAAATGCGGATTTCACGTGCTCAAACACTAACAAACTGACACGATCTTTCGGGGTCTATAGCCGGGTAGGCCCACACATTGCCACCCAGGGTGAATTGAGGAAAATTCGTGTATAGTACCTTTCCCAAGGACACATCTGGCCGCTTACGGGGTTCTAACCCAAGACTTTACGGTTGCGAGTCTGAGAGCCTAACTACTAGGCCACTGACGCCACAAAATATCAATACAACAATACCTTCATAGACGGCGTTTCACTAGATCTATATTATCTCTGGATAAACTATGGAACAAAAAGAGTTAAGAACACCGACAATTCCTGCATGCATGAGCGAGTCCTGTAAGATTAGCTAGCATGCAAACAGTTTCTGCATGCAGGAGAGGGGTCTGGGCTATTAGTTAGCACAGTATGTTATCGTTTCCTTTTGAGAATAAAAACACCCTCGATTTAAAAAAAAAAAAAAATCAGCAATTCTATTTAGCCCTACCACAAAGTTAGCTTCTATCCTACAATCCCTGAAAGACAAACAAAAAATACCTAGATCTATAGTTTTTAGATCATTGTTTGTTTGTTTGGTTGGTTTGGATTAGTTTTTGCTTTATTTTTGTTTTTTAACCGGTCGTTTTCTGCGTCTCCATGAAGCTTCCAACCTAGACGGTCATATAATCAGGCCACCTGCGCGCTACTGACCTAGATTCCTTGTGGGCTTACACACCCGTGTAGTAAGCCCACAACCTTGTAGATCATTAGTAGTGATAAGCCTACGCAGGGTGCGGCGGTCATGAGTTTGAATTGTTGTTTTCTCATGCTTTGACACTGGATTATTTCTGCCTAATGCAGTTTGCTTTTCAAGTCATCTGGATTATGTGAATATTTTCTACATCATTGTGTGTGTTGAGGAACAGAAGTGGTGACTAATTAATTAATTAATTAAGATTGACCAGCAGTCTTGAGATCGCAAATTTGAAGTGCTGTTTGGCTGCACTGTAGGCCTACTGTTCATTTTCAGATTCTTCATCGCCATCGTACTCAGTGAATGCCTGGATTCTTTTAGTTGAGGCCTAATGCAGTTTTTTTTTCCAAATCATCTGGATTGTGTGAATATCAAATATCTCTTCCATCAGTGTACGTGTTTAGATTAAACCTACAGTGAAGTTTTGACCGTGCAAGTTTAATTCATATCCGTCTAAATCCATTCTAAAATCCATGTCTACACAGTGGAGGCCCCCCCTTCTGATCCGCACTCTTCACTGACTTAGAGCCTCTCTATGCAAACAACCACTAAAAACGAACTCTCCATCCTATCCCTAGATCTGCTTTTAGATTTAGATTAGTTTGTAACACAAACAATAGACTAAAAGGACGATGTAGATATAAATCTATATATCTAGACTCTGAGCGTCTAGGGGCCCACCCTTGTTAGGTAGGGAAAAGTATACGGATCATAATTATGGGGGAGCTCCTTTGTGTTTTTCCCGACCTGCTTTGTTTAATATCTGCTGTTCTTTCACAGTGCTTACATGCTTCTCTTCTAGGCCTATTTATTGCTTTCATCATGTGTGGTTATGACTCTGTTGGACTGTGACTGACACCTTCAAAATAAACTGAAGGAATAAGAACAACAATGGGAAGAAAATGCTCAGTTGGTGGATGCAAAACTGGCTATGACAGTCAGAAAGGTGCAGAAAAAGTGACCTTGTATGGATTTCCTTCGGATGAAACAGAATGTCGGGCATGGACTGCTAGCTTACCAAACATTTTATCCTATGAAAAGGTGTCAAAACATATCAGTGTGTGCCCTCCATTTCCGTAAAACTCTAACTCAACTCAAGTCAACTTTCTGTCTTTCCATCGCTTTTGTCTGTCTAGAATAATTTTTTACATGTCCGTTAGTTTGAACACAAACACAGGGAAGCTAAACTATTGAGAGAGAGAGAGAGAGAGAGAGAGAGAGAGAGGGGGGAGAGAG